TTATAATTTAAAGAAGAAACCAATCCGATGTATATTTGACATTTGAGGCTTAATACTATAGAAAAACAATAAAGGGTAGTTAGAGTGTTTTCATCTAAAAATATGGCATGCGGTTGCTTCAAACAATGGTATAAATATCATTCAATGTAAATTGTGATAATCGTAATTAATAATCGCAATTACAATTTCAAAGGAATAATCAACAATTATGATTTTTGCCATAATCATGCAGCCCTATATACATTCTATTATATTACATTCTGCAAGTGCATTCTGCATCCCCAATGCATGGTCTTTTAGTTACTACGGCCAATCACAATTGTGGACCAATCACAATTACTGTGGTCTATATAGACAGGACATCGTTTTGAAGAGGTGCACTTTAGGTTACAGAGAAGTATAAATCAGTCTTTATGGTCGTGGGTTAGTTTTAACTACAGTGATGATGCATCAGAACACAAGCATCACTCCTCAATTAAATTAGCATAAAAGTTTAATAAAAAAAATAAATTAAAAAAAGTATAATAAAAAAGAAAACAAATAACATGTATTAATTTTTTTTCTCTGCTTAATCTGTGACTTTGGAAAGAAAAGACTCATGACTCATGAAATCAATTTCCCTTTGGAAGTTCCTTAAAGTCATATGAGCTGCTTCCAGTTGCTGTTAAGAACAATTATTTAATTATGAAAACCTTATTATGTAACAATATGAAGTAATTACATTAAATGTTATTAATTTTTACTTATATCACATGACATTTTCAAAGTCATTAATTAATTCATTTATTATTATTATTTTATTTATTTACTTATTATTCATTTTCAAAATCACATTAAACCAACAGGAATACAAAGTGCATTCTGCATCCCCAATGCATGGTCTTTTAGTTACTACGGCCAATCACAATTGTGGACCAATCACAATTACTGTGGTCTATATAGACAGGACATCGTTTTGAAGAGGTGCACTTTAGGTTACAGAGAAGTATAAATCAGTCTTTATGGTCGTGGGTTAGTTTTAACTACAGTGATGATGCATCAGAACACAAGCATCACTCCTCAATTAAATTAGCATAAAAGTTTAATAAAAAAAATAAATTAAAAAAAGTATAATAAAAAAGAAAACAAATAACATGTATTAATTTTTTTTCTCTGCTTAATCTGTGACTTTGGAAAGAAAAGACTCATGACTCATGAAATCAATTTCCCTTTGGAAGTTCCTTAAAGTCATATGAGCTGCTTCCAGTTGCTGTTAAGAACAATTATTTAATTATGAAAACCTTATTATGTAACAATATGAAGTAATTACATTAAATGTTATTAATTTTTACTTATATCACATGACATTTTCAAAGTCATTAATTAATTCATTTATTATTATTATTTTATTTATTTACTTATTATTCATTTTCAAAATCACATTAAACCAACAGGAATACAAAGACTACGTTGATATGAATTTGGCACGTGTTTTAAACTACACTTTGTTTTTACTTTATCACCTTTTGTATGTCATCGACCTATTTAACACCTGCTTTGAATTATGGGAAGGGACTGACTGATGTTTGATGTTTTCAGTCTTACCGACGGGGTGACCTCCTTCGCTCTGTACTGACTCTTAGAGAACACATAGATCAGATCGGTTATCTCCTCGCTCCGGCTAGCCATCATCGAGCCGTCACCCGCCTTCTGCTCGATCCGAACCCGCCCTTCACTAAATAGCGCAGCTCCCTGGGGCCGAGAGGATCCTCCAGGCCATCCCTTCAGGGCAATCTTCTTCCTCACCGCCCGCTTTAAGGCGCCGGGGCCGGAGCGGGTGGCGCGTCCCGAGTTCAGGGTCCTGGCGGGATGATTCCCCTCCACAGTCCTGGTGATCAAAATAGCCCGTTACCGACTGCACTAGACGTCACGAGAAAGACTTCAAGACTTCTCGCCGCTATTATTTCTCCAATCAGCAAAAAGAAAGAGTTCTGTAATTCATTTATAATGAAAGCCCCGTTTCGGTGTGTCTTTTCTTTCCCAGCACTCACGTCAAAACACCGCATCCCACAAAATCTCAACACCCGGTCACCAATCACAGGAAATCCGCACGACTTTTTATCCTTGAGTCTTCACACGCTTTTTATCCTTGAGTTTTATAATCGACTTGATTTCGATCTGGAGACAAAACATTCAGTGTTGTTTACAACGCCAAAACGGTCGGCTATGTGTAAAGGGATACAATAGAGCAGTTTGTAATGTTGCAATGAAATCTATCCGTGTTGGATATAGCTAAGGAACTTTAACCAGGGCCAGTAGTAAACAGGAAACTGAAGTGATCATGTGATCAATACTTCCTGAAAGGTGACGTCAAGTTGCGTTGTCTGCCATTTCAGCTGAGAGCGTATTGGTCTTGCATTTGCCCAAAGGTTTAAATTAGTATTAAATTCAGCAATTGATTAAAATAAATCTGGGTTCATTAGAAACAGGCATATATTTCGTGATGGGCAAATGAAGCCTCGTGAAGCACTGAGGCTTTCCTCTTGACTGTTTCGGGAAAAGATTCAAAGCTTCGAGTGTGTTGAAAACAGCGCCATCTGGTGGTTCATAAAAATATAGCATCCAAAAGCCTGTGAAATACGTAGGACGAAGCAGAGCCGTAGATTCTTTCTATGGCTCTGGGACGAAGCATCCACCACACATTCCATAGATCGATTCAAGTTACGTGCACAAATAAAAGCCTAACAAGTGTGTGTGTGTTTGTTGAATTTCTGTCTCTGATCAATTATTTTACCCATTAAACTGTGCATTTTAATACCAGTACGAATATCATATGACCCAGCGGGCACCTTGATGTCAATTTGACGTCAAATTTTAGTCAAGATTTGATCAAGCTTCTGTATTGCAACATTTTAAGTTCAGCTTGGAAGGCAATTTCTTCCGGTGGTTACTTGGGTAAAAATAGGAAGTTATCCCACACTGAAATTGGTTTAATATATATGTAGGCGGCAGGCCAATATGTTTGACGTTCAGTTTACGTCAAATCAACATCAAGTTTTAAACGTCCAATTGATGTCATATTGACATCACATTGACATCAATGTTTAGTATGTTTAATTAGGATTTATGTAAATTTATGGTGCAATATGAATTTGTCGTTAGATTGATTAAGTTTAAATATAATTATTTTCTTAATTGAAGACTCGAAACGCATTTGGCACATCTTTTGAACCGTGATGTGCAGCCGTTGAATTTCTGCACGCGGAGCTGCTGACTTGAAAACTTAAAAACAAAACAAAAAATTGTTTTGTACATTGCTCATGCTGAAATAGAAAGGTAAACAGTGGAGTGATTATTACATTTATTAAATCTACCAAAAATACCGATTTGCTGATAATACATTCACTGTAAAAATAAATAAAAAATTACTGATTTTTTTCACTTTTTTTGTTTACATAAAAATATTGTTAAAACAATTGAAAATGTATAAAAACTTAAGAAATATGAATTTTTATTGAATATATGATCTTTTATAGTCATTTTATATTTTTTTTAATAGACTTTTTAAAGGACCCAAAAAAACAGTGCAACCAAGTTAATGGTGGTATCTGGTCCATATGAGTTACATTTTTCGGATTATTACTTTTAATATCGTATCATAATATCATATAATCATACATTCTTTTTTTAAATAAACGGCATTTATGATAACTATGAAGATCTTAAATATTGGAACTAGAGGAAATCCCGCGCGGCGGAAGGATACCCTCTCCTCAAGCACACACAGTGGAGCAGCAGTGCGGCGGGACTCGACTGTCAGCAACCGTTCATGGATGTGAATAAAACAATAAGCAGTTTTTTTTTAACAATTGCTTCTGTTATTTGGAACTTTGTTTTGACCGTCGTTGTTTAGAGTCGTTATTAAGCTTAATCTTTTTTGTGTGTGTTTTTAAACTTGGACGCGGACCGTTAATTTCCTCACCAGACGATTATAGCGCCGATTTGTAATCATAGGCATCGTGAAGTCTGAACTTTTCGTCTAAAAAGCTTAAAATGTTGTTTAAATCAGCGAAAATTTAAGACTAACGTTACTCTGAGTCCAGATTAATTGGGAGGCCCACGAACAAAAATTTCGGTTAGAGTCAACTAATTTAACAGATAATTTTGTGCGGTGTGTCGTGTGCTATTCACATAGACTGTGTCCTATTTTTATTTACCTTTATTTTCACTTTTTTTGTTTACATAAAAATATTGTTAAAACAATTGAAAATGTATAAAAACTTAAGAAATATGCATTTTTATTGAATATATGATCTTTTATAGTCATTTTATATTTTTTTAAATAGACTTTTTAAAGGACCCAAAAAAACAGTGCAACCAAGTTAATGGTGGTATCTGGTCCATATGAGTTACATTTTTCGGATTATTACTTTTAATATCGTATCATAATATCATATAATCATACATTCTTTTTTTAAATAAACGGCATTTATGATAACTATGAAGATCTTAAATATTGGAACTAGAGGAAATCCCGCGCGGCGGAAGGATACCCTCTCCTCAAGCACACACAGTGGAGCAGCAGTGCGGCGGGACTCGACTGTCAGCAACCGTTCATGGATGTGAATAAAACAATAAGCAGTTTTTTTTTAACAATTGCTTCTGTTATTTGGAACTTTGTTTTGACCGTCGTTGTTTAGAGTCGTTATTAAGCTTAATCTTTTTTGTGTGTGTTTTTAAACTTGGACGCGGACCGTTAATTTCCTCACCAGACGATTATAGCGCCGATTTGTAATCATAGGCATCGTGAAGTCTGAACTTTTCGTCTAAAAAGCTTAAAATGTTGTTTAAATCAGCGAAAATTTAAGACTAACGTTACTCTGAGTCCAGATTAATTGGGAGGCCCACGAACAAAAATTTCGGTTAGAGTCAACTAATTTAACAGATAATTTTGTGCGGTGTGTCGTGTGCTATTCACATAGACTGTGTCCTATTTTTATTTACCTTTATAGGTATTTGTAATTCAAGTTATACATTTAGCTAGGGCTGCACGATAAATCGAAATGGAATCGATTCGACAGAAGCTTCGATTGTCATGCGTATCTTTTTCAGTGAAGCGCGGTTCTGTGATCAGCAGTAAATCTCCATCCAAAGGCCAGAGGGCGCTCTGCTACTGTGGTTAACGTCAACGGCGTTGGTCTGTCTGAATACTCGAGTCTGATTGGCTGGTGTGCGTTCAAACAGTTGAATGCACTTGTTGTTCCAGTCAGTTTAATCACCTCTAAATTAATGTGCAGCCTTCACTAAAGCACAAACAGGCGCACAGAAAGGGATTTCATTGATTTGATGCGTTTCAATACTAATATTTCTTTGGATTTTTGTAGAATTTTTAATTATCATGTCCCATGCACTCACATGTTTGTTTTTGTTTCTCTCTGCAGATAATTTATGTGAGTTGCTGATATCAAGGGAAAGCTAAAAAGGTAAAAATGTTATTATTTAGAGATGTTTAAGATACAGTGTTTTTAAATGTCATGTTTACTGGCAGTCATCGCTGTGTTACTGTGTGAGCCACTACAGGGATTCTTTGCATGTGAGCATTTAAACTGTCAAAAAATGTTGATTGATGTGAAAGATATTACGTCAAATGAAATCTCACATTTCAAAAAGCGAGGAGGTTACGTTGCAAAAACTGTGATAATTCTTTTTCAGTGAAATTGTTTTTCATGTCCCACCCATCTAGAAAGCGTAAATCATCCTTGAGAACTTGAACCACGTACAAGAGAGTGTCCTTTGCATCCTAAAGCCAGTAAAAGCAAGAAGTTCTTTCACGAATCAAGACTACAAGTATGTGTTTTGATTTGTACATAATGAAACTTTAATCTTAGAAAAGTAAGCATAAAAATATATGAGTGTATATTATATTTTCCTGGTTATAATTCAAAATTCAAAATAAAGCATAGTGTTACTGTGGCAAAATATAATACACATAACTTAAGTATTGTGTCCATTATTAAGGTCAAAGAGATGTTTGACAGTCCTCCAAACAACTAACTGTCCACAAACACAGCCAGATGGTGATGGTGAGGCGTGTCATTTACATGAGGTTTGTATTTTTAATGTGTCTCACAGTCTGTTTGACACTGAATTATTTTATATGTATTTATGTATGTATATTTTTATTAAATGAAATATTTTATTTGTGTTACTGAAATGTAGCCTTCAACTGTCCTTCATATAATGCCATCAGCAGCCTTCAACAAAAGAAATGTACGTACAACTTTAAGTAATATGTAGGGCTGCACGATAAATCGCATGCGATATTTAACGCGCATCTTATCAGTAAAGCCGGATATTTTTCCTGGTGTGAATGGGTCTTGACAGAATATCTTTGTCGTATATCAATGTGGTCACCAAAAAAGTAAGGTCAAATCAGGAGAATTGTTTGTGCATTTGACTTTGAACTATTTTTATTTTATTTTTTTATTTTTTTGCTTCAATAGGAATTTGTTGCCATTAAAGAGACATCCTCATGTGAATGCCTTGGATATTCAGTGTAATGTGTTCTCAGTGATGTGACCAGATACCTTGATTGTCAAAGCCATATGATGTCTGTGTGGTGAGCTTTTGAATTCAGTGTCTTATGCTTTATTTACATTTCCATGTGTTGGAAACCTGAATAGAGTATAATTAAACCAGGAGTTGGACTTTCAGGCCCTTGACACATGCTTTGTTGTTGATAAGTTGTGATTCTCAATAATGCTTGAATTGTACATTTAAAATGAAACCTGCAGTACTAATTTTGGAAAAAGTGAAATTGCCTAATTTATGTGATAAAATGTTAGTGTTACAATAAAAATAATGTGTATACTGTTTTTGGGAATTACTCAATATGCATCCTACTATATTGACACATTGTGATACAATATTTAATGCTCATTCTGTAAAAATTGTGCACAAAAATGTGAGAATTAATTCTGGAATATTTCCGTTTTTTTGTTTTTTTTTAAGTGTTCAACTGTAATTCATTATCATCCGTAGTATTTTTAACCTCTGATTTACATGTACTGTACTGTAGTCTTTCAGGGGATACAAAATCCAGTTTACATTTGTATTTTTGAATTGTTGCTTGATGAATAAAACTTTTCTTACATTTATTACTGTTGTGTTGTTATTTTGGTGGTCTAGAATAGGACATCAATGTGTGGACGTCAAATTGACATCAAGTTTTTGACGTCAATTTGATTTGCGTTTTTGACCTGTTTTTGTCAATTTGACATCAATTGCCCACTGGGGATGTAATTGAGGAATAATGTAGGCTACACATATGAATTGCATGAAATGTATCTAAAATGTAACTGAATAAGTTCGAATTAAAACTTACTCATAAAGTAAGATCTCGGGGATCGAACATTTCGACACACAAAGTGAATCGTGCACGTGACTGGACAGAAAAAGTGAAGCTTCGTTTGTCATTGGTCACGTGATTTCTATGTTAACAACACAAGCTTCGAATCGAGGCTTCATCTGGCACGCCCATACATTTATTCTCGACACAAGCTCAGATGCCTCGGTTCAAATGTCACATCACTACATATATTAATTAGTCAACCACGCCTACCGAAAACAGCTCATTCTAGCATGCCCCCACATGTGTACGTCATGATGTGGGAAGATTTGCATAACGCGGCCCAAATATTCACGCAATGTGTGTTTCGTTGTGTCACATGTGGTTGCCGCCCGCCCGCCGCGCCGTTCTCAAGCCCACCGGCCGTCCCTCACTCAGCACGCCGGCCTCCGCTCACTCTAGCCTGCCATGTGTGACGCTGTGTTTCGTTGTGAAAGCGAAACTACTTTGTTTGGCCTTCCAAAAGAGGACACGACTAGAAATCAGTGGTTAAGTTGTATTTACAACACTGTTCCAGAACAGTTCAACGCAAATATTCCGATGTGTCCAGCGCATTTTATGGAGGACTGTTTCCTGAGAGATTAGACTACAATGCCGGCTGTTCTGATCTTTTTAGCAACATCATATGACCCCTTTAATAATATATAGATTTATTTTTTATCTTGTTGCTTATTAGATAGATAGATAGATAGATTTGGGACCTATCCTTGTAATGCCATGAAAACTGTGCAGGTAGCTCTGTAACAGTAATTAATGGTACCAACTAGATTTTATTTTGGAAGATAAGTTTTTATTGCTGCTCAGGCATTCTTTCATTTTAATTAGAAGGAATTGATGCTTCAAGGAAGAAGCATTTTGATAAGTCACTTGGCTGATGATACAGCTCTTTTTTAATTAACAAATTGTTTTGCGGTTTTCTTTCACTATATGTATTTATGTGTATATATATATGTATGTTTTTTATCATTTTTATTTTTAAACCCTTGGTTGTTATAGTATGCAATTGTTATTCAAGTGTTCAAAAAATAAAGTCCTGCTGTCACTAATTTTATCCCTTAAAATGTCACCTTTGATAATCAAACTTTATCATATTTAAACATTTTTTATGAGCATGCAGAGATTTCTAAGATGTGGCATCTCTGCTGGATGGAGGCTAGCCCCTACATCAAAGCCATAAAAAGTGTCGGAGCCTGTCTGTTGTGGGGGATGAGAGCTTTCTGAGATTTGCTTTTAAAGGTGTGGCTTATCAATTCAGAGTCTTTCTCTTCTGTGTTTCTCTAGCTCTGCGCACATTCAGAAAGTGTATGAAGGCTGTTCTCTCCCCTCTACATTCGAGTGGAGCACATGTTCTGAATTATCTAGATGATTGGCTGCTCCTTGGTTCATTCAGAGAGCACGCTGAGCAGCCACAAATGTTTGCTCATCAACCACCTTCAGTGTTTGGAGCTTACTATTTTTTCAAAAAAGCAGGCTCCAACCCATTCAGCATATCCCATTCCTGGGTGTGAGTCTCAACTATGTATCCATGCAAACACGTCTGTTACCGGAGCACTCATAAGCTATCATGGACTTGCTGCAGTGTATAAGAGAGAAAAATCCCTCTCCCTAAAGAGCTTTCAGATAGTGATGGCGGCAGCCTCAGTGGGCTTGCTTTACATGCATCCATTTCAAATCTGTTTGAAAGCTTGTGTCAAGTCAAGTCAAGTCACCTTTATTTATATAGCGCTTTTAACAATACAGATTGTGTCACGGGTAACTGCAGTGACCATCTGATCTGGATATAGACTGGATCTGGTGGCTATGATGACCTCGGAATAAGAAAGAAACAAACTAATAAGCGTAGATGCCATTCTTCTAATGATGTAGCAAGTACATCGGGTGTTATGGGAAGTGTTCCCGGTTCCGGTTGACCTAATTAATGCAGCCTAACAATCCTTTAACGGATTTGAATATTAGAAATGTATTAGTGTGTTATGTGTAAGCCAGGTTAAAGAGATGGGTCTTTAATCTAGATTTAAACTGACAGAGTGTGTCTGCCTCCCGAACAATGTTAACACAGTAACACAGCGTGATTTGGCACATTTCCCATAGCATCAGCTTCTCAACACAACGTTATGAGACTGGATCGCAAGGGAACATCTCTGGATATTAACGTAGAATAACAATAAAATAAATTTGCTACCTATTAGATTGTTTTATCTACATCTACACCTACCCCAACCCTAAACCTAACCTTACAATAATGCAAACAAAGTAATTAATAATTATTATGCAATATTGATGTGCGCATGCCCAGTAGGACAATTTGGTTGTAGCTGAATCCCTTCTAGCCCTAACCCAAACAAGTGCAGCTCCTATTTCTTTGAATGGGGAAACATCAAATTCTCCAAAACTGTTCACCAAGCTTACGATTAAATTTCATAATATGAAATCACCAATGAAATCTGACAACAACTGTCTCATAAATGTTTATTTTTCTCAAATAGCGTTAAAAAAGCTTATCTCTCAGGCTAGACCAGCCAGTAACGACAGCTGCAGATGGCTTAACCAATTAGCAATTGGCCTTTTATTCAGAAGGCAGGGCTTCCTTCGATAGACCGGCCATATTGAGTGTTGCATTTTTCCCGTTCAAAACTATACCAGTGGCACGTCTTGGGTATTCTATAGTCTTTGTTGTATTTTATCCTGGAACCAGCGCCCAAATGAGTGAAGGTTTTTTTTAATAATAAAAAGTAATAAAATAATAAAAATCACTATTACATTATGGCTTAATGTGGTAGTCATATCACAAAGTCTGTGATTTAATTTTAAAAAAATATGCACTGCAGGTTTCAGAGTGAAGCGGGTACTTTGTTTGCTTACACGTGTACAGCCCATGACACAGAGCACTTTAAAGGTCACTCTGAAACCTATTTATTTGCTGGCAAACCACCAAAATAAAAGATGTTTAATGTTTGAATTTAAGCAGAGATGCATCGATTGCAACTGGACTTTTTTCATTTCGAAGTCTGTAAACGGCTGTTAACAGAGGCCAGAGACACTGAAGACAGATGCAAAGACGAGAAAGTACTGTTCAGGCAGAGCAAGCTAACTGTTCGGGACGTATAAAATATTGGAAGAAAATCGTAAATATTAGGGTGGGGGTGGGCTATGTGTGTCGCAACAATGAAGCACAGGAAACAGGACAATAGTTCACAGGACTTTGAGGGAAACACCCAGAGAAACACAGGTAAGCAGGTAACGGAGTATCAGCAGGGCACTAGAATGACTTATCTTGAGTTAAGCAGTCATTGTGTATTTCTGGAAGGATAGGGATCGATGGAGAAGACCAGCAGAAGATGATAGGCGAACAGGATCCAAGGAGTTAGGTAAATCTTGCACATAAGCGAGAGACTAGACCAGATGGTTAGGTGCCTGTGAGTGTGGGTTTGTAAGTGGGTCCCTATTAATCAGAGACAGATGCAGGGAATCAATACTCCGGTGAATTGGAACGGAGAGGTGGAGCTGTAGGGTCTGACGGGATGGATGGATCCATGACAGTACCCCCATCCCTTCCATGGGCAGCTCCAGAAGATTGTTGATAGTGATGACGAGGATGGCCTCTCCCTCCGGGCGCAGGATGATCTGGATGATTAGCGTGAAACTCCTGGAGTAGGGTAGGGTCTAGAACAT